AAAACAAATTTGCAGCAACTTAACCATTATCACAGCACATACATAATTTTCTATATCTTTCACAGCTGCAGGGACTTTTGATAGGAGGAAGCCAACTTTCTTACAACTGGACATCCCAATGGACCAAGGACCTGTGGATGGGTGAATCTGCTCGAAGCATGCACTGGAAGCAGAGATCCTCAGAAGATTCTCTATCAGAATCTCTACCAGATTCAACTGGCCGCTCTGCTGAGCGAAAGAGAAGCAAGATGCACAGAGAAAACTTTTTCTATCACTAGACATGTATGAGTTTTATCTGCATGGAATGAACACTAGATATCCAGGAGACATGCTGTCTTGACTGATTTGGGGTCTTCCATCCTTCAGGCAGTGTAAGGAATAAACTTGGGTTTGTGTTTTAGCAAAATCTGTATTTCTCTGCAGCTTTCACAAGAAAGATTATTCCTAAATACTAGGGAATTAGGAATTCCCATGAACCTAGAACTGGTGCAAAAGATAATTCTGTAACTATGCTATCTTTACTGCGCTTACTACAATCCGTGGTGCTACTGCCTGTTGTGATACTGGAGAACACAATGTGAGTACTTTCTTTTTGTAGTTTTGCAAATGGACATTTCACTATTTCTGCATTTCTTTCCCTTTGTAATGAAAGGAATCAACAGGACATCAGTGACCTAAAAAGGCAGCAGTAATTTTACATAAGTTTTGATTACAGAGAGTATTGCCTGAGGAAAGTCAAAAGGCTAATGGTCAACACATTTTCCTGGCATAAAAGAATCCCCAATGAAGTCCTTTATATGTTTGGTTCAAATCAGACACAAAATCATGTCTTACATTTCACCAGAATACTTGGTACCTCAGGATATAAAGTCTTCTGAAAACTATGGTTTTAAGGAGACAATATTTTCTGGAGAAGAATCATTTCACCTGAAAGTGACAAGATATTTTTTTTTATATTTGCTTCTTAGAGAAAGCAACTCATTAGCAAATCACAGTAGAAATCTTGTGTGATCATCAACAAAGTGTACTTAAACTAGCATGAAATAAATGCCAGCATTTCAGTGTCCTGTTTTCATGCAGACGCAGTTCAAGCAAAATATCTGATCTTGGTAATAAACACAAAAAAGAAACCATAGTAAACACTGGTGATTGATTTTTTAAAACGTAGTTAAACCTTTACTAAAAAAGTTAAAATACTGTGTCATATTTGCACCTGAGATTGAGGCAAGTACTGTAAATGTCATTAATATAAGAATACCAACATGCAGAAATATTGAGAATGCCTTCTGTAATGGGGTTTGAATTGAATTAATAACATAGTAATGTATCCAGTGATCACAACCAAGTTACTAAACTAAATTTGAATGTGGCCTAGGATCTCTTAGTCTTCTCATTACAAAATATATTTGCTTTCCCAGAGATTGTATGCAATACTTCTATTCCAAAATAAATATTATCAGTCATTCATAGTCCCTTAATTCAGCTTGGTAAATAACTGTAACCTTGTTTCATGGTACACAGACCTTTCACAGAATCTAGTCCAAAGCAATGAAAAGGAGGACAGACACTTCATTACATATATTTCTTTCTCCATTCACGAAGACAGCATAAGAGTAAACACACAAAAAACAACCCTGGCTGAGGGCACTCAGGTATCATTGGTAAAGGGTGCAGCAGAATCTGTACTGAAGAGTTCCATCATGAGGCCTTCTAGAATTATGTTCCTCTGGTTCTTCAGTTTGAATCGTATGAGAAAGTAGTGTTGCAATGTTTCATGATTCTGAAGCTCTTTACTGTATTGTCTGTACAGAAGAGCCCTACTCGGCAATTGTGTCGCACAACACTAAGCACTGGAAGAAGACTCCAGATGTAGTGTCAAACTCCAAGCTCTGCAGTCTGATTCGAACTTAAATCATTTAATTTCACTGCTCTTTATCAAGATGAGGATCTTCAACATTAAGGAAAATCAACTTTTTTTCTAGTCTGGGATTAAATCTAATTATTGGCTGACAGCTAAAAGCAGTGAGCACTTCAACAGGTATCTCCTTTGGAAGCAAAGGTGCTGGTGATTGCCCTGAGAGGCTTCTACCCCAAGGTCAAGGCTAAGCTCTGTGATATGCTGGTGGGTGGCAGGTACCCTTGCACTAATGGGGGCACTGAAACTGCTGGAATATACAGGGCTTTCAACTCTTGGAAATGGCTTAGAAAAATCATGCAAAGAGAACAATGGATGAGGACCATGTGATGCTCACCAGAAAAATATTTTATAAACTAAAAGCATGGTTGTGTCTGAGCTTCACCTGACTGCAGCTGGGCAAATATTCTTTTCCTAAGCACATATTTACTGGATGCTATCAGAAACAGGAGACAGCACTAGACTGTCTAGAGCACTAGAGCTTTTGATCAACAAATATGGCAACTCTTATATCCTCATAAAGCCCAAACAGCTAATATACTCCATCATTGGCTTTAATAATCAGAAATTATAATACTGGGATCTAGAGAAAAATTTGAGTGTTATAAATAAGGCTATTACACGGGGATACGTGTTAATTATTGGCACCATAGTAAAACCCCTATTGCTGCTATCTCAGTTATTTCTGCAGTAACTTATCCACTTTCCAGCAGTGACAACCTGCAATGATGGATGAGGAAGAAGGTCCTGAACTTAAATTGAAAGACATAATAAATAAGTGACAAATATAAGAGCATCTGTACTTGTCCAGTACTATATTGTCTTCATTTCTTGTCCCTCGCCACATTTCCACTGACAGAAGGAGGTAATTTACTATGTCAAGGAAATTCATGTCTGCCTGTGCTGAATTACTGCATTCATATTTCTACTTGTTTGTAGCGAACTAAACTCGTAAGTCCAGCTATGCAGATGAGTCATACAGGCTGTCTTTCATTTTACAAGGCATCTTTAAATACCACTCCTATTTAACTTGTACTCATTACCATCAGCAAGCAATGTGTGTGCCATACTATCCTAATTGCCAGAAATTTGAGCAAGTAAATCATTAAAAGGTTAAGTTATTTTTCATGCTAAATTTAATGTACAGTATTAATCAACTTTATTTCATTATTATGAGTAATGCAACGTCCTATAGTCAAATCGATTTACAATTATGCCAGATCACATGGCAGGGGGGAAACAAGAACAACAAACAACAGACGGATGTCATTCTGCTTAAATTCTCCATGTAAATTACAAACTGTTAAGTTAGACAGGGCTTTCTTTGCAGAGCACAACATCCAGATGGAATCTCACCAGCAGAGCAAGAACTGAGACACATCTTTGTCTCAACATTTTAAAAGCAAAGAAACCAAATATCTTGCAAGCATCACCCAGCCTACTTTGTATTTCCCTATTTGAACCTTAGGTCTGCTTTTTGGTATTATTTCTGAATAGAAATCTTTGAGACAACAGTGAAATAAAGCCATTTTGGCAAAAGATGAGACATGCATGAGACAGTTTATTGAGTTGCTGACATCACCACCATAAGATGGATCTTATTGTCCAACATGGACATCTACAGAGGTGAATCTTGAGATACATTTCTGATGAGTAGTGTGCATTAGGCACAGAGCATCCTTCCAGCTCCTCCAAAATGCAGTTCTGTACATAAGAAGTATCTCTTTTATGTGATACTTATTCCAGAATATTTTATTCTAGTTTAATCCTGCTGAGTATCAGAGTACCAGTGGTAAATCCATAGTCCTTAACATATACTAAACTGCAACCTGTCATCTCTCTGAAGCTGAGAATGCAAGCTCTTGAGTAACTCTTCCAAAATAAATGACAGAGCTGAGTTATCCCTGTAATTTGGAGATACAAGAAGGTACAACATTATACATGGGTAGTTAAATATACTTCTTAGCAATATGAAATTAGTTAGTGGGAAATATTTGATTGCTCATCAATTAGTCAGAAAACTCTAACTGCTCTAAACCTGTCTCTGACAACTCTATTGCAGATGCAAGTTGATCTAATTTGGTTCATCACAATGAATTTGATTCAAAGTGAGGTTTCCATTTATTTATTCTGATAGGTTGCTTAGCATTAAAAAATGCTCTTAAGAATTGCTTGCAAGTCTGCTTTTATGCTGTTGTAGAAAAGGTAACTTCCTGGGCACATTCACATTCACATTCACCTTGTCTCTGCCTTGGATGAATTAGCTGTTGTTGAGAGTTATACTATTTATTTAGGGAGAAGAATAAAAGGTTACTTTAGAATAGTTATACAGGTATAAACTATTCTATTATACAAGTGTAATTATTCAAGCTTAATTTTTCTGTGGAAAAAACACCCAAACACACACATATTCCAAAGACTTATCTCCAAAATAGCTCTGGCAACTGCCCTTTATCTCATGATGTATTTTGAAATGGCAGCTGTTGGCAGGAGAGATAGATGTTATATTTTTATCCTCATAGCCTTAAGTCATAGAGTTTGTGTGTTCTTTGCATCACCAAAAATCAACCTTTTAGGATGTTCCAGATCCTACAAAACTTACAATTGTTAAGTACCTTATAGACTACACATTATCAAGATAAGGTAGAAAATACTTCTCTTTGTATTATTTTATGTTTTACATTGTAAAATATTATGGGAAAATGCAATGAAGCAGAAATACGTAAGGCAAACAAAATTTATTTATATTGCAATCATATGTGGACCATTCATCATTTATTCTCAGAAGGTTAGCAATGTTTGAAAGCTGTGGCAGATATCATCATGAAATATCTGTTTCAGAACACTTTTCTGACAAAGTATCTTAGGTCAAGTGGAACGCACACATGTGTGGTTGCATGGCTTATTGTTAAATGTAAAATTAGGTTTACATTTATAATTAAACCCAGAAAATATACTTTCAGGAAGAACTGGAATCACTGGTTTTGGTGAGATATTAAGCTGAACACCTTGACAAAAATAGTAGTCAAGACATAAGACGGGGGAGAAAAGTGCTGTCAAGAAAATGGTGAAAAGACATATTTACCTTGTGCAACTGATAGTATTGCTTGGCACCTACTCCTCCTTGCTCTTCTCCTGTCCATAGCACCAAGCGCAGTGTCCTTTTTGGACGAAGTCCTAAAACACATGTTTTAATATTGTTTTTAATATTAAATACAGATATATTCTGAGCCTTTTTTTCCATTGGTATCCAGCCTCCAATGGATGAAAAACCTGTATTTCCAAAAACCAAACTCAACCTATATCAAGTGTGTGTTTTTCTGTGAAAGACTGGGGTGTGGGGAGAGAGCCCACATGAGGAAGGAGTGGGCAGTTGAGGTACTGCTGCCAGTTGCAGTAGCACAAGAGAAGCACATTTCAGGGACATACTGAAAGTGTCTGAAAACCACACCAGAAAGTAACTGCCTTGATAGATTTCTGAAACATGTGCTGCTGTCATTGTGGTGGTCTGCAATAAGTAATACATATCTGCTCATAGCACATCCAAATAAAATTTTCATGAAAACTACCATTGCTTTGTCATGGTTAACTTATTACAATTAATTGAAAATGAGCTGCTGGATTTTTATGAGAAATGTTTATCCATTTCAAGAACTGAGGGGCTATGTAATATCATTTTGCTTTTTATCAGAGAAATGAAAAGCAGCAATCTGTACTTTGGAATCTGAAAGAGTCAGCTGCTAAATATATGCACGATTTTCTGAAACAAGGCGAACATGAAGCCATTTTCTATTTTGCTATGGTAGCTCAATCAGAAAGATAAGTTCTCAGATAAATTTTGAAGCCATTTTTTCCATGGCAGAACTGATCAGATAGAAGTTGCTTCCCTCTATTTATGTGGTTGTTTCTATTAATAAATTAATACATTGAGAGAAACTTGAGAGCATGGAAGAGCAAACAGATAAAGAAAAAACTGTTCTCTGTGCAGTAGAATGCTAATTATGTTAGAGGAAAAAAATAAAGAAAAAACATGAGGAGATTATCACAAGTGATAAAGTACCACACACACCTTTGTGCTGAAGAGAAATAATATCAGTATCACTGTCAAAACTTATTTCATTTCCTAACTGAAATGGATGAAGACTGCCAATAGGCTTGACCTTCATTAATTTTTTTCTTTTGACACAATGAATATGATCTGCACATTTCTTCTCAAAACTAGCAATCCTCCACACTGAAGGCAGAATATAGAAGGAATATCCCAGATCTGAACAAAAGAGCTTGCATTTTTCAATATTTCATAAAAAAGCGCAAACAAGTTTAAAGGTGTATTTTCTGAATGTTGATCTGTTGACTGTAAACAGAAAGGTTGTCAAACTTCATTACTTTAAAAACAACCTTCTGCACACCTCCCAGTAGATTCCCTGCTCTCCTGAATCACAATAGTAAAGGATTAACTTCCTTTGCTTTTCAAATTAGTCAGATGGCTTATGAGGTAAAACTGAGATAATAAAATAGCTCTCATTTGGAAGTCAGAAAGATTGAAGCCCAAAATAACCCGAAATATGTCAGCAGCTTGGTTAGAGGTGGCTGTAAAAAGCAAGAAGTGCTGGTATAAAACACAGAGGCCAGTGTTGTAGTATGGTTCCAGCAGCACCGCAGATTAAGCGGAAAAAGGATATTTGTGATATTTGTCATATCACAAAATGCAAAGTGAAGTCCAGTCTCCAGCCCACCACACGAAGTCTGTGAGCATAGCTTTGGTAAGAAATGCTTACGACAGGGAAGCAGCATCTCCTGGCTCCTCCCAGGCAAAAATCAAGCTATTTTAGTCTGCCACTGCTGCCCTAAGGGGGACTTGGGCCAGGGGGTCCTCATGGCTGGCTCAGATGGGCTGTAACCTCAGCTCCTGCTCTCCAGGAGCTGGAGATGATCTCAGCTCACTTGTGGAAAAGACATTTGAGATTCTTGTGGTCCCCTCCCCATCCATCATTACATCTGTCCATTGAAGCTGGGGAAATAAAAAAGCCCTGCTGAGCTTTGGTCTTTCCAGTCCGGGGCGTGGTGTATCACCTCTTCATATCTCATGGATTCCTGTCAGCAAATTGATTTGTGTGTTCTACTGAAATTAAATGGGCAACTTGAAAAAAAATAAAAATATATAAGCTATGGAGGCAGTAATTTTAAATACAAACAAAGTCTACAGAGGAAAATTTAATTTCCTCATTATCTTAATCTGAAAGCGATAACTATTTATCTACCTCTTATTAAAAACAGAGCTAATCTGACCAAAGAACAGCAAACAAATCCAGTATCCAGAAGAAAAATTGCTGAGAATATTCTCAATGCATGTTTTTATTAGAAAATTTTAAAAGGAGGACTGTATTCAAGTTACAAAAGTTTTTCAAAGAAAGTTTAACTACTTTGGTTTGCTTCTTAAAAACTACTGGTTCCTAAGTAAGGCATCATGTTCACAAAATCAAAAGTCTTTCAGATCTCAGCCCAAATATATTGAAAAGAGAGGATAAAATAGCAATTGGGCTAGGAAACTGTTTTATGATGGGTGCAACATATAGAGGGGTGGGTAAAGGAATTTTAAAAATGAAGGAAAACTGTTACAAAAATAAAATTGTGCCTCTTTCCTTGCTATCTGAATAAATGACTTATTACATAGTATTAAAAATAAAGAGGCTATCAGAAGAAAAAACCTCCAGATGAATTTCCAAATCTCCAATGTTTTAGAAAAATGTATTATCTTTTTTTTCTCCCTTCTACCTTGCCCTTAACTGAAATAAAATCATAGTTTACCACAATGATGCATTTTTCTGATCAGCCTCTATATTTTTTATGGTTTATCTCAAGCTTAAAAGATACTATGGGCATGTGGAATCACATGTTAAAGAATGAAATAAAAACATCGATATGGTCGATCTGTGACTAAGGATACATCTGTAGCAAGCACAGCAGGACACCTGCTCTATTACACTCCCTCTGTGCTGGAGTGGCTGCTATCCTTTCTTTCTCCTTGGGAACCACAAACGCTCCTGTCATACCAATGTGCAGGGCTTATTGACTCTATTTTCTGTTTCTTTTAAATCATCATAGATTGTCCACATTCATAGATAACAGCAGCAAGACCTGAATTTTATGTCCTACATGTCTTGCTCATGCTTGACAGAATTGAGACATTCCCACACAGCAAAACTGAAATATAATGTTTTCTACATGTAGAGACAAATCATAATGGCCTGTCACATGTAAAGCAAAAAACTAAACCCACTTCATTCTCAGTATAGCCTACAAGTCAGAAAGGAGAACTTGAATCATCTTTTTAAAATCAAAATAGAGAGCATCACTTTAAACACAAAATTTCCTTCAGTAACTACTTTCCCACTTTATAACCATAAATCCTTACTGATGGGGAAGATCACAAAGATAAAATATTGTCTAAGAAGACAGTGTGTAGATGGCTAACAAGCTAATTTCTTCAATGTCATTTTAAGACTGACCAGCTTACAAAACCATAAAAAGCTTTCCACTTTTGTAAAAACAGTTATTTTCCCTGCAAATCAAGACACTGGGATCACACACAAGCAAATCAAATAGCTGTTCAGCTAATATGAGCTGATATGAGGCATACAAGGAAACTGCAAATGGATGTGAGTAGATTAACAGGTGTCAAGGTTTGACCTCAGCTGGCAGCCAAGCCCTCACAGCTGCTTGCTCAGTCCCCCACCAATGGGACAAGGGAGAAAATCAGGAGGATAAAAGCTAAAAACTTGTGTGTTGCGATAAAGACAATTTAATAGGGAAAGCAAAAGCTGTACACACAAGCAAAGCAAAACAAGGAAGTAATGTATTCCTAACACCCTGCATAAATGGCCTAGAAAAGCCTTGAGCTGAGCATAAAGGAGAATAAATTGCACTGCCAATAGAGGGAGGTGATTTTGCCCCTCTACTTCCCCTGCTGAGACCTCACCTGGAGTACTGCATCCAGCCTGAACTCCTCAGCACAGGGAAGACACGGACATGTTTAAGTGGCTCCAGGGGAGGGTCACAATGAGGATCAGACAGATGGAACTTCTCTCCTATGAGGAAAGGCTGAGACTAGAGAAGGGTCCAGGGAGCCCTTAGAGTAGCCTTCCAGTAATTGAAAGGAATCAACAAGAAATGGGGACAGACTTTTTAGCAGGGCCTGTGGCAATAAGGACAAGGAGCAATGGTTTTAAACTAAAGGAGGGCAGATTCAGATTAGATCTAAGGAAGGTTGCTTTTTACAGTGAGGGCAGTGAAACACCATCACAGGTTGCCCAGAGAGATTGTAGATGCCCCATCCTTGGAGAAATTCAAGGTCAGATGCAACACAGCTCTGAGCAACCTGATCAAGTTGAAGCAGTTCCTGCTCATTACAAGGGGCTTGGACTAAATGACCTTTAATGATGTTTTTCAACCCAAACTATATGTTCTCTTACTCCCTAAGTCACTAATGTACTTGCTTTAGGAGCTACTAGGGAGGTATATAGAGATCCTTAAGTATTGTCCTCTGCTGTGCTGAACATACATAAGTTATGGCCTTTTCTGCATTGTTACCCTGTGGCTTGGAATTTCTTTAAAAGGTACTTATACAAAAATATTTATAACTATTTATACAAAAAATATCAAGATACATAATGATGTTGCTGAGATTCCTTAAATTCTTATTACACTCCCTACCTTTTTCAAGTTTGGAGCTGATTAGACATAGGGGATTTACTGGGTGTCATTAAACGGGATATTTCTATCATGCATGCACTTCTCATAAAGTACCTGGAATTTCCACTTCTGCCACAGCATAAAATAAAAATAAAACCAGTACACCACATTTTGCTAAAGAAGATAAGAACTCATCATCAAGAACAGTGGTACAATCTGCTAATACCTGATTTATGTATCCTGTGGTATGGGCAAGGAAGAGAAAAAGCTCTTACTGCTAGCAACCTGTTTCCTTGCCTAATTTCAAAGAACATACATGCAGAAATAAGCTGTAATCAATAGGATGATAGTAATAACACAGTTAATTGAAGATGTCCAGACTTTTCCTCTGAAGACCTATAAGAAATCTCTATTCTAAACCAGAAGGACTTTGGCTTTCATTCTTGTTATCAACACAGCGCTCTATGGTTTAAACAATTGATCTC